TCGGTAGCTTCAGTGACACTGTCCAACCATCTCGTCCTCTGTCGTCCCCTTCTCCTCTTGCCTTCAAACTTTCCCAACATCGGGATCTTTTCCAGGGAGTCTTCTCTTATGAGATGGCCAAAGTATTGGAGCCTCGGCTCCAGGTCCCTATATAGTAATTTTCTTTGCAGCATCAGACTTTCCTTTCACTTCCAGGCGCATCCGCAGCTGTGCATCCTTTTGGCTTTGGCCCAACCTCTCCATTAGCTCTAGAGCTACTTGTCCTCCACTCTTCTTCAGTAGCATGTTGGATGCCTTCCGATCTGAGGGGTTCATCTTCCGGCATCTTATCTTTTAGCCTTTTGTTTCTGTCCATGGAGTTTTCTTGGCAAAGATACTGGAGCGGCTTGCCAGTTCCTGCTCCAGGTGGAGCGTGTTTAGTCAGAACTCTCCACTATGACCTGTCTGTCTTGGGTGTTCCAGCACGGCGATCTTGGGTGTCCCTGCACGGCATAGCCCATAGCTTCTCTGAATTACTTGAGCCTCTTCACCATGACGAGGCAGCAATCCGTGAAGGGGAGGTAGGTGGGGACGTTCTTTATAGGCATAGTTCAGTTTTCCAGGTGCTGCATTCTGATGAGCAGGCTTTATGCCGAGGCATTGAGAGGGATCTACTTAACATGGCTTTCCTTTCTTCCACCCATCAGGTGCTTAGATCTTCAGCCAAACAACTTAAAAGCCTTGATGGCCTTGGCAGTGAGTTTCACAAACACCAACCATCAGCAGGAGGCCTGTGAATCACTGAGGAGCTGGATTAAGCAGAATCCGAAGTATAAGTATTTAACAAGGAGCAAGAAAGGCTCTCCAGCACTGACCAGGAGAATGTCCAAGACTGCCGATGAAAGGTAACAGCGAATGACCTAGAGCTATTATGGGCCAAGTTAGGGACATTTAAATACCAGCATCCTGGACTTATGTTTAAATAATTTGTTGTTTTGAAGAAGGAAGACTGCTATGTCTCAGGGGATGGGAGAAACCTTTGGAACATTACATTTTCCAGGTGCAAAGAGCTTTGGGCACATACCTAAAGCACACAGCAGCTTAGGGCAAGGGATGAGAAAGACCTGCAGGGAATGCAAAAATGATTGGAGTTCAACTCTCATCAGCTCCAGTCAGCATAGCCAATGTCCAAGGATAGTTGCGATTGTATGCGATTGTAGTCTCATGGCATAATACCATGGGGGGGGGGGGCACAGGTTCTCCAAATTTCACATAAGGTCTTTAGAAAATGAAACTGATAGAATTCCCCATCCCTGCAAGCTGAGCATTAAATTAACCCTTAAACTTCCCTATCACTTTGCATGGCAGTTTTTTTAAAATCAGGAGCTGCATATGTGGTCATGCAGACTGTCTTCCTCCTTCACTTCTCTCTTTCTTTTTTGTTTCTACACATGTACACACGCACATGCACACACTCCTGAGCCTCCTGGTGCAGTTGTTGAGCTGCAGTACTGCAGTCAAGGCTCCGCTTACAACCTGAGTTTGATCCCAATGGGCTCAGATAGCCAGCTTAAGGTTCACTCAGTCTTCTGTCTTTTCAGGGTTGGTAAAATGAGTACCTAGCTCACTGGGAAGGAGGGCACTGTCTAGCCTGCATAATTGAATTGTAAACCACCCAGAGAGGTGGTATATAAGCAGCATACTTACAAATTTTGTTGATGAATTGCTGCAAGTTAAGAAGTTAGTGTATGCATTTGCTGTTGTATACTAAGTCACAAATATTTTTGCTAACTTGTTAACGTGGCAATTTGCCATTGAGATTTTATGCCAGTTGCATTACACCAGAATAAAACTTAATAGTGTTCTGGCCAGTGATGAGAAAAGGAGGTGGATTTGCCGTATTAATCAAAAGAAGCTCACCCAATTCAACACTTTTGCCGTTTCCACATCTGAAATATCCCCAACTGGTAGACTGGATTGGGTTGAGTTAACCTGATATACAAAAAAGTTTTAAGGCCACAGGTGACTACCTCAGTCATAAAAATTTGTATTTTGCTGCTGTTATGTAGTTCATTGCTGGAAGAGGTGAAAAAACTGTACCTGGAGGCAGCTCATCAAAATGGTGAAATGATAGATCCAGACTTACAAACGGGACTTGGAGTACTCTTTCACCTAAGTGGGGAATTTAACAGAGCAATAGATGCATTTAGTGCTGCCCTCACTGTTCGACCAGAGGTAAGTTTTATACTTCTGCATTAAAAGTTTTACTTTTGCTGGCCATTCTTAGTTCTTTCCAAAGCTGACCTGCATTAACAAGCTGTCACTCTAGTCATTAATACTTTACTATTTGAAATAGAAGTGTTAATTGCAGGGAACGTCTCATTTTTAAATAGTTTTGTTCCTGTTTTATTTCTGGCCTGCCTACAAATGAATGAAAAGTAGTTTTATAGGGTTATTAATCACTGAGTCATGATCTCATGTTCTATGCTGGTTAATGGAAAGAACAGTTAATTTTTTTTCCCTGCACCAGCCATTAATTTGAAATGGTGATCCAAAACAATAAAAAGATGATCTGTACCAAGATTATGCCAATACTAGAAAACTGTCGTTGTGTTGTCAGGATTATTCATTGTGGAACCGTCTAGGTGCAACCTTAGCGAACGGAGATCGAAGTGAGGAGGCTGTGGAAGCCTACACAAGAGCTCTGGAAATCCAGCCTGGATTCATCCGGTCCAGGTACAATTTAGGAATAAGCTGCATCAACCTGGGAGCATACAGGTGAGACTGATGGACCCAGTATCTTTCTGTATAAGGTACTCTTTCCATCTTTCAGCTGCACTCTAGAGTCAAACAAGATAATATGCCTATCACATTTTTGCAGTGGTTCGCCTCTTTAGTGAAGGTATCAGTAGATAGTTATCATAGTTCATGATTTTCCTTATTTGCACATCTTGCATTTAGCGTGCCTTGTTACATGATTGGTGATTAGAAGATAAACAAGGGCTTACTTTTCAGGTCTGTGTCTCTGAAGAAATCCCATTGAGTATGGGGAAATGCGTTGATCAGAGGAAATTTGCCTTCCCCATAATGTCTAGTTTGATCCTGAGTGTCAGAAAGCAAAATAGGCTAATACAAGTAGAAAACCATAGTGTCTTATAAATAAAACATTATCAACAATACACACACACATGCATGGCTGTGCATACGTCCCTTAATTTCATGTTTTACCTAATACACTTCTGTTTTGAGGGCTTTTAAAGCATAATACAGTTTAAGGCTTCAGTTTATCTTGATTTGGCTTTCAACAAAGCCCACAATAAATAGAGACCGTGTTTCCCTTGGGAAAAATTAGTCCCTCCCCCATCAATTTCAAAGGGTGCTCATTTTCAAAGGTATTCCACAGCCCTGAAAAAACAAGCAGGATCATAAATGTATCCAGATTGCTTAGTCATTTGGAAGTTTACTGACCCTAGCTGACAATTGTTATGTAGTAGTAGTTCAAGTTTATTGTATTAGCTAAAAGCCGTCACAATTGTTTAAAATACAGATATGGTCAAATAAAATCATGATAAAATCACAGACATATAAAATAATAAAAGACCCTTCATATCTGGAAATCTCCCACACAATTGATCACAATGGCTTTCAGAAAATTAGCTTGAATATTTCTGGCCGCTTTAGCGAATAGCGCTGTTCTATATATAACATAAGGGTCACAGTCCAAGAGTAACCTGACCACCTTTATCTGAGGGCTTTCCTCCTGTAGAGCAGCCAAAATGTTACTCAAATGTTACCCTCGGGGGTTTTGATATAGCTAACAGTAAATAGTGGAGAACACCCTTTATCTCACCTGCTCCGACAGTTGTTATGTAAATAACTTTCATGGCAGCATTATGCACTGTATGTACGCATTCTACCCTTGCACACTCTGAAGAGTGCAGCTACCGATCCGTTCTCCCAATGTGCTTATGAAAAGGAACTAGCATCTAACAAAATAAATAAACTATGTGGAAAACAATTTTTTTAAAAATCAAGAAGCCACCATTTCCCCTTAGAAAGATAGATTTCTCCTCACCCCTCTGCCCATACATAGCCAGTACGGTAATTCATTAAAATACAAATCAGAGTGTTTTGAGCCGAAGACAATTATATTTCTGTCATGTTTCCCCAACAGAATAGAAGAAGATAAAGTGAGACTGCAGAGAGAGAGAGAGAGGCAATGGTTGTTTCATAGAGCTGGAAGTGCAATCACTCACTGTTGATTCTACATATCATCCCACTATCATCTCTAATCAGATTAGAGAATTTATTTGTCCCGATTGCAGGTCATAATGAAAAACCATAATGCAATACACAGTAGACAGAACACAAAGATTTATATGGTTGTTGATCATTAAGACAGTTTGTTCACTCTGAACATAAGTTACAGATCCTTTCCTCTGTACACAGCACTGCAAAGGTGTATAAATCCCCTCTTTTTTGTTAGAATCATAGAATTTGGGGCCTAGATTCAGTTGTTAGCTCCAGTTAAAACTAAAATGCAGAATTAATAAACTGTTAAATGATTTATCCTACTGAAACAGAACAAAGTTGCTACAATTCACAAACTGTTTAAAAACTCAAAAGTAAAGGTAAAGGTTCCCCTTGACAATTTTTGTCCAGTCGTGTTCGACTCTAGGGGGCGGTGCTCATCCCCGTTTCCAAGCCATTGAGCCAGCGTTTTTGTCCGAAGACAATCTTCCGTGGTCACATGGCCAGTGCGACTTAGACACGGAACGCCGTTACCTTCCCACCGAGGTGGTACCTATTTATCTACTTGCATTTGCATACTTTCGAACCGCTAGGTTGGCGGGAGCTGGGACAAGTGACGGGCGCTCACTCTGTCGCGTGGATTCGATCTTACGACTGCTTGGTCTTCTGACCCTGCAGCACAGGTTTTTGCGGTTTAGCCCACAGCGCCACCACGTCCCTTTAAAAACTCAACAGAGACAAAAAATAACTGCAACACCCACCCACCATTCAAAGATCAATCACCAGGCCTATCTAAATAAAAATGTGCTTGCCTGCTGGCAGAAGGAGGCGAGCCTAGCCTTCTTCGGAAAGGAAGTCAAAAATCTAGAAGCAGCCACCAAGAAGGCTCTCTCTGTTGTATCCTCGCCAGATGAGGCCTTTGAGGGTGATAGGACAAAGTAAAAAAAGGATCTCCTGATCATCTTAAGACCAAAGGAGATTTACATAGGGAGATACAATCTTTCAGACAGCCTGAACCAAACCCATCTCTTTTATTTCTTTTATTTATTTAAAACATTTCCACTTTTCTGCTAAAAAAGTACGCCTTGGCAGCATGTGTCACTAAAAGGACAATATTTTAAAGCAAAAAACAGTAAGTATAGAAATAAAAAAAATAATTAAACCTTATATTAGAAACAGAAAATAAAATCAATACTGGACTAAAAACACATTTAAAAGCAATACGTTTGAAAAGTCCTCCCAGGCAGCCAATCCTAAAGAGTCTTCACCGGCTTGTGGAAGGATGGCAAAGATGGTCCCAGATTATGAATTTTTTTTTTCCTACTGGGGTACAAATAGCTTTTTTAGAACAAAAAAATTGTTTAAAAAATTGGGGTAGTGGATCAAATTTGGGTGTGGACTAAAAACACATTTAAAAGCAATACGTTTGAAAAGTCCTCCCAGGCAGCCAATCCTAAAGAGTCTTCACCGGCTTGTGGAAGGATGGCAAAGATGGTCCCAGATTATGAATTTTTTTTTTCCTACTGGGGTACAAATAGCTTTTTTAGAACAAAAAAATTGTTTAAAAAATTGGGGTAGTGGATCAAATTTGGGTGCAGCCCTTTGTTTGAAAAGTCCTCCCAGGCAGCCAATCCCAAAGAGTCTTCACCTGCTTGTGGAAGGATGGCAAAGATGGGCCCAGATTATGATTTTTTTTTCCTACTGGGGTACAAATGGCTTTTTTAGAACAAAAAAAATGTTAAAAAAAATGGGGGTAGTGGA